GAGTAACACTGTGTGTTTATTGTTGAACTGATAGAATTCACTCCCTAGACCGGAAAAATAGGACTATTATTGTAAAAAGTAAATAAAAAGACCAATCAATAAAATACGTAGCAACAATCAAGTATGAAATTAATACTCGGTTGCTTTCGTTCGTTATTATATTATGCCAGTTATCAATCTAGATCTCTAGTTATCGAACATTTTGGGGAGAACTAAGACCTAAATCGGATAGCTGGCATGTTGGGAGTTCTACTCCCTTGAACATCCAACCTAGCATCACTATGATTAATTCTGAGGCGTGTGGGTATTATTGAAGATAAAGATGCCCGGAAATTGTATTTCTGTACTTTAAAAATGCTTTTTAACTTGGAAACTAGATTAAATAATTATTTTTGAAAAAAACATAAAATGGCATTGGTGCCTAAAGCATACATCATCAATGAGCTACGAGAATGTAATAATAATAATAATAGCTAGTCCTAACCATAATCTCTCTAATGCCGCATTCTGAGCTAGGACAAAATTTGACATTTAATGTAACAGCAAACTTTGGTTGGCGATCGGCTATTGGATCATTTCTCCATCAATGTAGTTTATATTAGTTTTCGATTGTGAAGTGAGACTCGAGCCGAAAATTTCCGGTTGTGCGAACCGCCGTGGGCGGGTTCAAGGGAGGACCGAGTAGGCACGGGCCCCTTACATTTTTAAAAATTATAAAAAGAAATTGAGAAAAAGGAACATATTAATTAAATTCAGGCCTGAGGGTGCAATATCATGCCACCTCAAGGTGCCATTCATTACCATAAATGTTGTTACCTCAGCCCCAACCATGGTGCAGCTGAGGTGGTCTACTCTCCATCGTGTGAAAGTTCTTCGAATTCCATGAACAGTTGGCGATTTTCAATATAGAACTTCATATTAATTTACAGACATGACACTTTTTAAAAAGCGTTTACATTTTCTAGAGCGAAATGAATTAAGAGGTCCTTGTGATTCATAGCAAACATTTGCCACATTTTATAGATGTTTTCATGAAGTTTTCTTTTTAGTCTTGGACAAGATATGGTGCCCTGGGTGACGTTGAATCATAGTTTAAATACCAAGGTTTTACATGGAATGATCTGGTAAACAACGGGAAGTCAGTAAGCGAAGAGCATTAATGGTGATAATCACATTTAACTTTGTAATGTCTAAACATATTTAAGTTCATATTCACCTGCTGAAGTTCCTTGTATTACTCGTGAGATTAGCATGTAAATATGGTTATTATGCTTCGGCAGATAAAGATACGCATACGTCACACTGGCTACTATACCCAAGAATAATGTAATGATGAGCGGTAGCTTACTGCCGTATCGGTTCGCCCACACGCCGCATATGGGTGCAACAATCAGTGTTGCTAAGCTGTTACTTGCTATAATCCAGCCAAGCATCTTGGTAGTGGATTCACGGTGGATCTAAACATGAGAAGAACATGAATTTTTATATTTTATGAAAACACCTCCATAAGTGATATAAAAATGATATATCACATTAAAAAAAACCTTTCTCAACTATAGTCTTACTTTAATGAATTTGACGTACAGAAAAATATACTCTAGAAAGTTACCATATTAGGTTCAATTTATATTATTGTACAGATAAGACAAAAACATACTACTTGTAAATAAGGCCAAATGGACGGAATGACCATAGAATAACCGACAGCCTCGAAAAATATAGTGAAGTACATAACACGTATAGACCACCACCTCCTCCGATAGTCCGATTCTATTTCAGTCAAAGGTTGCATTGATCCATAGCTAAGAGAGAAAGAAAAACAAGACAATTATTTTTGTTAGTATACTATATTTATATTCATTGTTTTCTATACATTGGTATTGTTTATATTATAGACAATACAAATTGTAAACCTTTGTATAATGTTTTAATATAATTTTTTTTGCAGGTTAGTCATTAGAACAGGATATGTACACAAGTTCAATGGATTATATATACCGGTATATATAATTGGGGAACCAACCATTTGTTTATATCTATTTACAACATTACCACAAGACGGTTTAGAAAAAAAAAAAGTAGTCACCTGGCCCTCCTAGGGTTAATAGGGGGTTGGACTATAGGCTTATTACCTGTATCCTTAAAAAATATTAACAGAAACCAATAATGTAAATACAGAACAAAAACCAGGCGGAAGTGCGAAGAAGTGCCAGATCTAAGACGAAAATTACATCAGATTCGTGAATGATCCGAGCAAAAATGAAGTGCATGGGTGAAAGCCGAAAGGAAGTCTATGGACCGAAAGCGTCACTTAGAACGCCAAAAACCACAGTTGAAATATGGAACTTGAATGTCGTACTATGTACGCGGCTGGAAAATCAGCAGAAATAGCAAGTGAGATGAGGAGCCTTCATATAAGATATGTGAGTGCGAGGAGCCTCCATTAGAAATATATGTTAGTGCAGGTGGACTATACAGTGGCAGTGGCAACGTGGAGTGACATTTATGGAATGGAATCCGGTAAACGAGAAAGTGTTAATGGTCAGGCTATTCTCATGAATGTATCATGAACATCGGTGATTAACACTATAATCATTTGCCCTATTATTTAAAAGAAGCTAACAGTAATATAACATTTAATTAGAAACACTTAACATTGTACATACGAGAAATATCATAACAGGCTCTCGTGACCTTCGGTAGTTTTTGACAATAGGAGTATTCATCAGTTAAAATTTATTGAATAATAGATCTAATTGATTTCAATATTACAATGTCAACTCTCGCGGGGTCTATACCAGATTATGACAGTTATTTGAAAATATATATCTTGTAATATTCGGCCTATTTTAAGAAAACCCATTTTTAAAGATGAACACAATATTGTTCATCGAATAATTATACAGGTGTATCAAGCTAGCTGAATACGTATTCACAAATCAGATTTATTTCTCAACAAAGCATCGTTTCCAAGCTATGATAACAATATTTGAACAGTAGCTAAACGTTGTATGTGTATCTAGGTATTTTCGCGTTCAACGGTGTCGACACATTTTGTGGAAAGTGTTAGGAGAGTATTGTATTTACCCATATCTATTAACGGTAATCATGGATGATCGATTAACGCGCACTGACATTCAGGGCAGGCGACCGTTTATATGCTGAAGCATTGCGTAAACCACATAATGCCTCAATTAATATTTTACAATAATGCATAACGAATACGTTTAATGTGGATTACAAAAAGAAATAGAGAATAGGCCTATAATTCTGTAAAACGGTCTTAATTGTGTTCTCTTCTATATCAGTAATGGACACTATCTTCAAAATACGAAACTTTAGGCCTAATTTTTATCTTTCTGCTTCATAGCAAGAATGGTCATGATAAATTCGATTGGGGTTGTAAAGGTTCACCATTAAAAGGAAAACACTAGCAAATAATTAATTGATTTACTATTTCATTTTTTATTTGATTTTTGTAGCCAATAAACAAATACATCTTTGGAACATCTCTCATCTTGTATCTGTATCATTCGTGAGTCTGTACCTAAACTCATTACCATGATCCTACGTGCAATTTCGTTTATTATAAATAAGGTTCAAAAATATATAAAATACAACAACGACTTTAAAGTTTGTTAAGTCATAATTACTAACTTAAATTTAAAAACACATGCATATTTTGATATTGGCTTGCATATTTTCATACAACTATATTTATTTTTTTTTATTTGAATAAATTATACATATGTTTTTGAAAACTATTAACTTTCAGCAAACATTATCAACTACTGCTAAAAGAAAAATGCCACATTTATTCATGTTTTTGTTAGAAAATCAATCATTTAC